TGTGTGTGTGTGTGTGTGTGTGTGTGTGTGTGTGTGTGTGTGTGTGTATGTGTGTGTGTGTGTGCTTGTATGTGTGTCCGTGTGTCCTCTTCCTCCACCAAGAGCTGGGGATGCAGGCTCACTTGAGAGATTCTGGTTGCCCAGGAACCCTGCCACTGGCTCTGAACATAGTGTTTCCAACACTCCCCGCTCCCTACTGACCCTTCAGTAAATTCATCCTTCTCTGTCTTGTCTGGAGAACTTTGCAAGCTTTTAGCTCTACCTTTCCATCTCCTTAAAGGGGATTGGGGGGGAGCGGGGGACGCTTACAACGAACGGGATTCTGTCCATCATGAGTTGGCTATCACAGATAAAGAGAAACCTTAGTTTGATTCCCATCTAGGATAAAGGCTTCTGAGATTGGTCCATCTGCATTTCCGGCGCTCAGACACTGGTTTTCAGGGTAGTGAACCTTTCTGGAAAGAATTTAATTGGAAAGCGAGAAATAAATTTTACTCCTCTAATGAAGATGATGTTTTCCTTAAAGGTTCAGCTAGGCGCTGTGCATATTAAAGAATCTGTGAACCATGAAGCTCTTTAAGTTCTTTGTATGCATTTCCCAAGTCTGTCGTAGTAGCAGTAGCAGTTATGCATGGAACATGCGTTGCAACACTGATAATTAATCAAAGGGTAATTCATATTCATCAAGTCACATGACTGAGAAGTTTGACCTTCCCTTAAGTTACTATTATGAAGCAGCTTCCTCTGTTATCATGAACTAAAACAGTAATTAGTCTACTCATAGCAACAAAAATTTATTTATTATTTTGTAATCATATGGACTGTATTTAGGGGCCATGGATGAGGTTTATTTACAGTTTTGGAAACTAAGAAAACAAGTGTTTATTATTACAGAAAAAGGTATATTTTGTCAATGAGATGCCTGTCCTTGGGGATAGTGCCTGAACCTAGATCACCGGCAGCCATCTTCCCTCTTGAAATTGTCTCCAAAAGATAAAGAAAGCCACTCACTTTAAAACAAGCAGTGTAAGATGGTCCTTTTGCCCGTTTCCACTATTTTTAGCTGTGTTGCCTCCATTTCTCCTTGGGTTAGACCCTACTTTGGGCTCTGTGTTCATTTTTTAAGGCAAATAAATGGCCTTTCCTTCTCAGTTTTGGATGACCACCCCGTCAGGATTTAGTTCATTTAAGCTCATTCATCGTGTCAATGGCCTAAACCCATCATCATTCCTAAGGATTTTTTACATATTTTCATACTAAAGAAGTCTCCCTAGCATACCCCGGGGCCAGACACTTTGAAAACAAAAAGCTACATTCTATTTGACTTTATTAAACAGCTAAGTAAAAGTGAACGGTTTTGGTCCTCATTGCTGAGCATTCTGCTGACTCACAGACTGGAGGGTAAGGAAGAACTTAGGTGTGCGTGTTCTGCTATGGAAGTACGGGATCGTGCATTACAAGTCCATTGACTGAACTGCACAGCAAAAAGCAGTCATCGGCAGTGAAGCCTGACAGGGCTGGGAACCTTTCCTATCGCATCTCTGCAGGGATTTGGATTCCCTAGTTCTGTCTATAGAACAAAGAAGGTACTTCACTCTCCAGAAGGGAAAATGCAAGAATCAATGAGTTTATCTGTTGATTACTAAAGGCCGTACTATGGGGTTTTCTGGAGCGTTTAAAGCAAATACCTCCCTTCCTCTAAGTAGACAGTAGGACATTTGATGGGACATGGATGGATACTCTAGCCATCTTTCCTGTCTCCCTTATCTCAGTTTAGCCTCCGAAGACACTTTAGTAACTTCAAAAAACAAAACAACTTAGATTGTTATCCAGGCTGCTCTGCTAGTGCCTAGCATAGTAACTAAGAAAGGGGAAGTATTAATTTTTTCCTAACTGAATTAACTTTGAAAATTGACATGGCTCAGAGAAGCCTTCTGACATACTTAGCTGAAACTGTGGGCTCAGGATCAGTGAGAGACCTTGTTTCAAAAACTACAGTGGTGGGAGATGGCTTAGGTGGGAAGAACGCTTATTTTGGAAGCAGGAGGACCTGGATTGAGATCCCTTAGCAACCACATATAAACAAGGCATGTTCTGAATGCCTGTAACCTCAACCCTGGGCTTCAGGAAGACAGACAGGAGGATCCCAGGAACCAACCCAATCCCAGGTCAGTCAACCTGGCAGGAACTACAAATGTCAGGTTTAGTGAGAGACCCTCTCTCAAAAGTCAAGGTAGAGACAGGAAGTCTTTCTTTGCATGCATGCGTGTGTGTGTGTGTGCGCGCGCGCGCGCACACACACACACACACACACACACACACACTCATACTCTTGACCAAGTACCCTTATTGAGATGATGTCCATGGTCCCACGTCTTGGAGGAAGCAAGTTCTAGAACTGTAAATACATTCTCCTGATTTAACACTTCGAGTTTTGAATTCTGGTGATAAAACCATACTTGCTTATTTTAGATCTCCTGGAACAGAGGAATTTATTTGAAATGAGGACACATGTGGATATAATAAACAGAATTATTTGGTCAAGACATCTTTGGTTTATGTCCTGATGCCTCCATTTAGGGACTTTGTTGTTCATCTGCCCCAAGCCTCAGTTTCCTTCTGTGCAGCGATCCTGGGATAGTTTTAAGCACAGATAGAACACACATACAGGAGATATACTTTACCTCAATTTGTCTTATACCATACCATCATTTGAATAATTGATGTGTTATTCTTGCTTTTTAAAAAAAGAGAGAGAGAAAGAGAGAGAGAGAAACTCCTCTTACCTTGTTACTGCTTCTGTATGTTAGTGTCATATAGTGACAGCAACATATTTCATTTTATGAGTAACTTAATTTATTGCCCATTCTTTTATTTGTGAACTTTTATGTTCTTTCTAGTATTTTCCTATTTTAAATCATGTATGCTATTTTGTCCTAATTTTTATGCATGCCTGTAATGCACCTTTCCCCTTTAGGTTTGATAGGTACCCTATCTAAATCTCGCCAACATTTTTTTTTCAAAAAATCATTGCTAAGTTGGCAGGTGAAATTAATATTTTTTTAATTCTTGATCTTTTACTAAGCAAGATGACCTTATGACATGCTTGCAATCATTTTTTTCTTCAAAGGCAACTTGTTTGTGTCTGTAATACTATTCAGATGTATTTTCATTCCTTAAGTGATGATAACAATCCCTTTTTTTAAAAAAAAAAAAAAAGCGCAACTGAGGAAAGAACACCCTCACTGGCAAAGAGTGTGTGAGGCAAACATTAGAGAAATCACTGTGGCTAACCCTGAAGGGTTGGAGCCCGAGCGGCTGTGGAGTCAGGGAAGAACAACTCTTGGAACTTGTGCCCCGGTGTCTGGGCTTTCATGCCAGCCTGCTCAGTTCCTTTCGGAAGCAGCCAATCCCTGAATTATCCTCAAGCATGCATGTTAGTACAGATGGCTCAGTATGAAGAGTTCCTGGACTTGGGCAGATCATTTCCATCCCTTGTTGATGTCATAAAGGGAACGTCCAGTTTTCCTAGATTAAACAGAAAATGGGCGTGATAGGGATCCTAGGAGGGGAGTCAAAAATACCTGAGTTATAAAATCATGTCAGGTTAGGGTCATATCCCGTCGCTAAATTTCAGCTGCATGCAAAATTTACATATGTAAAGGCAGATGGCTAACTTACTGCGTTAATGTGCATTAATGACCTTCATATCCAGAGTGTGTATATTAATTATTTGTTTGCTACTGTAAGCCAACGCTATGAACATAAGCAACTTAAGGAAGAGTGGATTCGGCTTCTGTTTCAGGGGGCTGAATGTCTGAAGTGACAGGGAAGGTGTGGCTGCAGGAGCACAGACTCTCAAAGCTTGCTCCAGGAAAGTGCTTCCTCTAGCAAGACTCCGCCCACCCACCCCCAAAGGCTCACAACCTCCCTAGCTGCACCACAGCTGGGGAGCAAGCTTTCAATTACGTAAACCTGTGGGCAGCATTTCTCATTCAAACTGCCACAGTGTATCTCCTGAATCAGTGGGCTTTTTAAAAAACTTCATTTTATGAATGATTTTATTAGTGTGTGTGTGTGTGTGTGTGTGTGTGTGTGTGTGTGTGTGAGAGAGAGAGAGAGAGCAAGAGAGAGAGAGAGAGAGAGAGAGAGAGAAAGTGCCATGACATATATGGAGGTCAAAGG